TGGTCTCCTGTCTCTTCATTCATTTAGCAAACACTCACCCAGGGTGTTTGCTTTTGCAGTTATTGGGCAGGCCCCACCGCATTTCCCTGACATACAAGAGGGAATCCCCATCATCCTTGCGGGGCAGCCAACCCCACGGGCTCCCCACGCCTCACCGCCGGCCAGTCGCCATGCACTCCCGCACACCTACTGTGTGCCGACCGCAGGGCCAAGGACCTGCTTATCTATCGGCTTTTTCAGAGTCAGCACGTGCTTTCCTGCCCTTCATTTTCATGGCAGTCGAGAGTGTGCTTGCGTGGCTGGTGTTTTTAAGCATGTGGGACAATCTAGAAAGGAGATGGTGGCAGGAACCAAGCGGTATTGTGCTGTGCAAAGGCACACAGCTGCAAGCCAGGATGGCTTCTGGTCGCGGCTCCGTTTATACCTGTTCACCCCTGACATTGATGTTGAGGAGGCAGCTTCACGTCTGGCTCTGTTTCTGCACCTGTAACTGGACTCAGAGGAGCTGACCTCCCTTTCCAATCTCTACACTATGAAATAGTACCTGACGGACAAACGACTGTCATAAGGCTGGTCATGGGGTGGGGGGCGGGCACTCGCAGACGGCCAGATCCAGAAGCGCCCCATCCCTGCTCTGCTCTGCTCCTTGTGAGACCCCCCCAGGAGTGCCCAGAGGGCAGTGGATGGTGTCAGAGCTATAGGGCATTAGCAGGAAACATCCTGCAGTAAAATCCTGCTTTCTTGCAGTGGAATTTCAAATTCACAAACTTGAAGAAAAAAAAACAAAACAAAAGCTCTTTTCTTTTTCTACATAAAATCTTATGAAATGTTCAGAGTTGAGTGCTCTGATTTAAAGTGGGTTTAGGGAAGAGACCTGGCCTGCCTGTTCTCTGACCTCGCTCTTCGGCTCCCATCGTCTACTGCTGTGCCACAAGTGACCCCAAAACTCAAGTTTATGTTCAGCCGGCTCCTGGATCTCAGATCAAGGATGCAATCGTGGTGAGTGAAGGTCAGGAAAGGCCTTCTGCCGTTTGGGCACACCTCAGAGACACTGCCGGTCCAGTCCCAGTGATACAGTGTCAGAATAAAGGGAGTCAATACGTATTTTGGTTTCTTGGTACATTAAGTTATGCTCATGCTAAACTATAGCTTCTTGTGTGCAGTAGCATTATGTCAGGGGAAAAAAGTATATAACTAACTTTAAAAACACTTTATTAATAAAATAAAATAGCCATTGAGGCTCCTGGGTGGCTCAGTCAGTTGGATGTCCAACCTCGGCTCAGGTCATGATCTCATGGTTTGTGAGTTCGAGCCCCGCGTCGGGCTCTGTGCTGATAGCTCAGGGCCTGGAGCCTGCTTCGCATTCTGTGTCTCCCTCTCTCTCTCTGCCCCTCCCCTGCTTGCGTGCTCTCTCTCTCAAAAATAAAAATATTTTTAAAGAATAAATAAAAACATTTTTAAAAATTAAAAGAATATAAAATAGAACGGCCATCATCTGAGCTGTGAGTCGTCATCTTTTTGCTGGTGGGGGTCTCGCCTCGATGTTGACGGCTGCTGACTGCTCCGGGCGCCGGCTGTGGGGGGCTGGGGTGACTGTGGCAGTTTCTTAAAATAAGACAGCAGTGAAGTCTGTTGCGTTGACCGACTCTTGCCTTCACAAACGACTTCTCTGTAGCCTGCGATGCTTCTCTGACAGCATTTTACCCACAGCAGAACTTCTTCCAAAATTGGGGGAGCCCATTCTCTCAGACTCGGCCACTGTATTACTAACTAAGTGTATGTGAAATTCTAAGTCCTTTGACACCTGAACACTTTCACAGCATCTTCACCAGGAGTAGATTCCAGCTCAAGAAACCACTTTCCTTGTTTCTATGTGATAGGGACGGCTTCTTCCGACAGACCTCATGAGCCAACCTTTCTTCTGCAGCTTTCTCACCGCTCTGAGCCTTCACGGGACGGGAGAGACTCGGGGCCCTGCGCTGGGTCAGGTTTCGGCCTAAGGGGGATGTTGTGACCGCTCTGTTCTTCCATCCAGACCGCTCACACTTTCCCCCGTTTCAGCAGGAAGGCTGTTTTGCTTTTTCGTCACTCACGTGTTCCCCGGAGTGGCACTTTTCTTGCCTCCACGAACTCGTCGTGTTCACAGCTCGGCTAACTGGATCAAGAGGCTCTGTTTTGGGCCCGTCGTGGTTTTTGCCATGCCTTCCTCACCAGGCTGACTCATGTCCAGTTTTTGATTTAAAGTGACAGACAGACTCTCCCTTCCACTTGAACATGCAGAGGTCGCTGTGGGGTTATTAATTGGCCTCATTTCAATACTTCCGTGTCTCACAGAAGAGGCGGGAGAGAGACAGGGGAATGGCCAGTTGGTCGGGAGCAGTTCGTGGTGGCCCCTAATTACAGTCGTAACATCAGATGACAGATCACTGTCACAAACAGAAGAATGAGAAAGTTGGAAATATTGCCGAATTACCAAAATGGGACACAAAGTGAGCAGATGCTGTTGGGAAAACGGCACCAATACTATGAAGGGTCGCCACAGACCCTCAATTTGTAAAAAAAAAAAAAAAAAAAAAAAAAAAAAACAACACGGCATCTGAGAAACACAAGAGGACGTATGTCTGGGTTCTCTCTCCTCAGACCCTGGTCTCCTAGCTCTGCGTGCGAAACCTCCTCGGAGACGGTGCCGGCTCCCTCCCAGTCGGCTAACCTTGCGAGCTGCCCCCCTCCCCTTTTAAAGCCGCTTGAAAGAAGTGCTGCGTAGACACAGAGGAACATCCCTAAAAACCATAAATAATGACACAACAGACGCAGAAGTGCTCGGCAGGGTTAGGAAAGGGACCCTTGGTTCCTAGCGGCCGCTTAGTGACCCCATCCTCCACTCTAAGTTGGTAACGAGCAGCTTACACTCTGGATCCTTCATTTTCAACTGTCATTCTCTTGCTTTCCCTTACAGTTCTATGCCAATTTTCTCTCTCTCTCTCTCTCTCTCTCTCTCTCTCTCTCTCTCTCTCACACACACACACACACACACACACACTGCCTAGTTCTGTTTGTTTACGCAATGGAATCACTGTACGTATTCCTCTGTGACTTTCTCACTCAGCACTGCTTTAGACCGATCCCTCGTGTTCTAGATCTCACCACGGCTGCTCCAGTCTTCTTGCGTGGATTCGTGTGTCCATCCTCATCTGATGGCTACTGGGGCTGCTTCCAGGTTTTGCTGTTTGCTGTTCCTCACGGCGCCACGGATCCCGGTACGCGCCTACTGCGCTGGCTGTGTATCTAAGCGTGGAAGAGCCGGGCACCAGGCTGTGCAGCCTTCACCTCGTACTAACGTCAAACTGTCTTCCAAAGTGGCTGTACCGGTTCATTTACACTCCTGCCAGCAGTAAGTAAGCGCTCGATTCGCTCCACACCTTTGCCAACATCCGATGCCGTCAGACTCAAAATGTGCGGTGTAGGTGGAATGTGATGGTTTCTCAAAGCAGTTTAATTTTCTCCTCCCTGCTGAGGTGGACGGTTTCACGTTCCGCCTCTTCAGCTCTCATTAACATGAGAATCAAAGGTTCCTGAGGGAAGAGGAGAGATTAACAGGCTCCCTAAAGTGGCCTTGTCCGATAGGTCCTGAGCCAGGCGTAAGAGGCTCCATCAGCCAAGCCTCTTGCAGGCCTTGGGCTAGAAGCTGGGGGGCGGGGTGGGGGGCCGACAGAGGGGAAGAACCCTGATTATCTAGAGCCAGAGACAGACAAGACACACACGCCAGTCTCCACACAGAGTAATTCAAAGTGCTCTTGAGAGAACACAGAGTACCGCAGAGTGCATGTAGGGAATCCTCGATGGAGGCGGTCCAGAGCAGGGAGGTCAGGAGTCGAGTGCATGTGGAGCACAGAGCAGGTGTGACCAGAAGGGGCAAGGGAAAGCAGAGGTCACAGGTGCAGGTGACAGGCCCTGTGTCCGCCAGGGGACTATGTGCCTATTTAGAGGCCCCCGATAGACCCTGAGGGCTTGGGGCAAGGGAAGTCTGAGCAATGAAATCCTGGCTCTACAAAGAGTGGAAATAAACTGGCAGCGTAGAGACCAGTCAGGAGAAGCGCTAACACACCTCAGAGTATGTATTAACTGTGCCGACAACACTGTGCAACGGCGTGCGAGAAGAGAGGGGCCCCGGGAACGGACTCCGCAGCCCCGAGAGCTCGCAGGAGTCACAGATGGAGGGAAGTATGGAAAGGCGGCGAAGAGGCTGGGCCTGTGACGTCACAGACCTAGCTCTGGGTCCGAACACTTGCTGCGTCACTAAGCAGCAGTGTAATCCTGAGCGAGGATTCCTACCGGGGGCTGTTTCTCCAGCTGTAAATGGTGGGTCCGGGAGTACTTCCTGGCAGAGCTGTTGGAGGACGAAGGATGAGGACAGCCAGAGTGGGTCAGGACACAGGGCCTGGCACGTGCTGCGGCAAACACGCACCGGGCTGATGCTGTCAGCCCTCGGCCATCGCCCGGGATGGAACAGACGTTCTGGAAAGGTTTCGGTCCGGGTTAACACAAAATAGACGTTTCTGCTTAACAACTGATGCATAAGAAAATCAGGTGCACGTGAGTGAATCAACTGAGCCCTGAACACCTACCGTGTGCCAGACGCGGCCAGAAACCGGAATGGTCATAACCAGTGGATCCGTACCTAAGGACTGCTCGGTCCGGAGAGGAAGGATTACAGACCCGCACGCGGCCGTGTGGGGAGGTAACAGGGGTACGTAGCTGTGGACGTACGAAGTGCTGGGACCGAGACAGAGTGCACCTGAGTGTGGTTGGGGGCGGCGGGGTGGGGGGCTGGTGCCGCTCTAAAGATCACGACCTCAAGTAAGCTGGAGGATGGAATCGGAAGAGCCAACAGCACTACCACGTAAATCTCGGCAGCTAGTTCTCGTCATCATCGATGCAGAACCTGAACTCTATCCGGCAAAGAATCCCGACACCACCATTCAATAAGAAGGCACACAGGGTGGATATTAATACCTTTTAATGTTTCACATTGTCTGTTTTTCCCAGAAGATACATAACAAAAATACATGGAATTTAATAGGAATCTCAGTACAGTGGGAAATTATAGAATCTAAACAAGACAAATCTATATATAAAGTGTAATCCTTCTTGGGGGGACAGAACGTTCCATCCCACTAAGAAGAGAGAATCACAACATGATTAGGCACGAAAATCATACTGCCTATTGTTCTAACTTCAGAGACTGGCAGGCTTGGAGAAAAAAAAAAAACAACAAAAAAACGGTTAAAAAAATAAATAAAACCGAACACAGGCAACTGCCTCAACTCCCCTCTTTGTCCCTTCCCACCTTCTTCACAGCACTGCAGGGGTAAGGGCGGGAGGCAGTGCCCTGGGGGGCAGGCGCAGGCGCTCTGCTGCCTAAGAGCCAGGCAGGCGCAGAAGGTCCCTGAGGTGACCAAGAAATGTACTTTGAACCGAGCATTCGGGGTTGCCGCTGGAATACACGCAGAGGGGAGAGCTGACAGAGGGGCCGGAGGGCCTGCGGACGGGAGGCCCGGTGGCCACAGCACACGTTTAAAAGCCAACTCAGAGAAAGACAAGGTGGCCTCCACGTAATCCTGGAACAGTCAGCACATTCACGCCGAAATCTACAGCTGCAGAGTCAATCCCTCTTTGTAACAAGACGAGTTGGAAAGCTAACGGAGCGCAAAAACTGCCACCATTCTGCCAGCAACGGTCATCCATTCAACAGAAAAAGGCAAAACCATTCGGTTTTTCAATGAAAATCCTTCACATCCACCTGTGTTCAAAAATAATAACTTATGATATTAATAGCTTCCTTAAAAAAACGATCACCACAGAAGAGTTAAATCCTAAGTGTGGGAAGACCTATTTTCCTATGAATGTGGTTCTTAGGAAGGGACAGATACATATAGCACGTGCGAAAAGTAAGGCCGTGATATTTGTGTGTTTAACTTAAAGCTAAAGTTACAACAACAAAAAAAACCAGTTTTACACAAATTAAATGTTTCTTATTGCAAAAGAGCTCACTTTGACCAACACACAATAAACCAAGTAAAGGAAAACATTTATTGTTTTTCCCCATCTAAGGTGTACCTCTGCCTCCATGATGAGTACTGGCAGGAACCATGCTACAAGTTCCACGCCGGGGAACGTCACTTGAGACGGGCTGGCCAAGGGGCCATCACCTCACAACTGGTGATGTGGCACATGGGGCAAATTTGGCCAGATTCAATCATAAATGTACTCATTGGTGGACACGGAACTCATTAGGGGAGACCCTGCTCAACAGGTGAGTCACATAAAACAGGACACTTGGCTCCCGGGACCGTTCTCTCTCACGGGACAAGCCTATGCAGCCTCCGAGTGCCTCTCATGCGTGAGGCACCTTACTTGCACACTCTAGACAAGACTTGCTTTTGGACAAAAATCGACTGCTAACGTTTCTCATCTCTAGTAATCACGTACACCTTGGAGGAAAAAAAAAAGAAAAAAGTGATCAACATGAGAAAGCTGAACAATGAGAGTAAGCAAATCCAGAATGGAGAGGTCGCGCTAAAACTGCTCGGCACTTGTTCCATCACCGCCCACCGCGGGGGCTTGGGGCCGGTGACTTCATGGACGCGCCCTCCGATGCGCTGCCGAGTGTCAGCTCCAGTCCGTCACGGTGACCCCAGTGCGACGCTGTCTGCCTTCCATCCACCACCTTCTACCCGAGAGATCCAAGGGGGCCTTGGGTGCCACCAGCGCGGGACACGCGGGTGCCAAAGCACAAAACCCTTCCTAAAATCTGCACCTTGGACTTGGGCAAGTTAACACAGCAGTGGCCTGGAGTGTCGGCAACAGCATCCGCACTGGGGCTTAACCTCAGCAGCCAGCCTGGAGGATGCTTCCCCCAGAGCGCTTGGTCACCGACAAGGTTGTGAATACCTGCGGGGAGGACAAAGCATGAGATTTTCAGACACCTGAACAGATGAGTTAACAGGGAGTTAGAACAGACAGCACCATTCCTATCAAGAGTGACGTGGGGGACCACTTCAAATGAATAAAAACAGGAGAGTGACATGACCAGGAATGTCATAGCTTCTCCCGAGGATAAAAGGGGAAAGACATTTTAAAACCAAGGTGAAAGAAAAAAATTTAGATTATAACTAATGAAGAACTTTATTACCATGAGGGTGATTAAAACAATTAAATGAGACGCCCCGGCTGGTCGTCAATTCTCTAAAAGAACTGCAGGGTGAAATATTTTGGATGTGCAGAAAGGTATAAAGTGTACTATTACAAAATCCCTGTGTTCATATACTCAGCTCAGGGATTACAAATGTGGTTAGAGCCCCACGTGTGTCCCGCCCCCCATCACCTCCTTCCTCCCCTCCCCCAGTCAGTGCTCACCATTCCTACATATTCCCTGCATTCCTTTTGTAGGTTTTTCACAACCTTGCATCTAAATAGCAAGATGACAGATGCACTGTTCTGTCGTCTGCGTCCTGGGCCCCAGTATTCCTTGGAAATACTGTATTTCCGTAATTCACCCATATGGATACAAATGGCTCTAATTCTTCCATTTGTCACTGAATAGCATTCAGTTCCTCTAGTATACGATACATACTGTAGACTACAGAACTCAACTATCAAACAGTGAATATATTACACATTACACACCCAGGCTCCTAGAGCTGGCTATCCCTGCTACTGCTGATACGCTGTTTGCGACAGGCTCCGTGATGTCCCAGTCGTCTCCCTGCACCCAGAGCTAGACACACAATTGATGGGTTGGAGGGTATGCGTCACTTCTAGGCGACTGGATCCCCAGGGTGCCTGACTAACTGATACTTTCATCTGCAGTGACTGATGAGACCACCTCGTGTCATATCCTTACAAACACTCAGTGCTTGTGGACTTAGAGCCTTAACATCGTCAGGCAGCTGTTTTATTGGCTACTGTGCAAGAGGGTCTATACAAAAACAATGATTCTCATACTTTGGTGAAGAAAGTCTATTCACATTGATTAAAACACACAGAAATTATACTGATCTTAATATGGCAGATTTAGGGTAGGGCCCAGGAATCTTATTTTTAGCAGGAGTCCCAAATGGCCTGATCCGTTCTAATGCGGGTATGCCCAAGCACCACACAGAATTTCTTGTGGAGTGCCAATGCAGGCAATGCACTGCGAATTCTTGGCCCAATCCAAAGTCTGGAAGTCTACCGATGGTAAGCTACCATCAGTTGCTTACCTTTGTAGTTTTACCAAATAGGAAGCCTACAGTCAAGATTTTTAGAAACCTAATACTTCTATACATTTAGAAACAGATTTTCATTCCTGATCTAATGGAGTAATTGGTACCACACCAGCTCTCTGGACAAAACACCAGACAACAGGCAGTGACTGTAATTCCCTAACAAAGAGAAACAAACAAGGTGAGCCTTCAATAGGCCTGGCTTTCCATCTGGAAGCATCTGCAAGACCCTGGTGCAGTAGGAGGAAGGAGCCCAGAGAGAACACAGACATCTCCGGGACTCGAAGAGACAGAGTGGAGGCTGGGGAGGGAGAGGCGGCTGGGATTCGGGGGGTCAAATTCCCAAGAGGCAGCCACCCCGAGGAAGAGCTGTCCCCTCATCTCTGGCTGAATACCAAGCTGTGCACACCTAGAGGGCAGGGCTCCATGAAGCTAGAGAAGACACAACACCAGACAGAGAGCTGGAAGCTGACCACCACCAGAACCCACTCAGGACTGGGAGATGCTCCAGTTCTCACTAACCAGAGTCAAGAGGCTTCTCTGAGCAATCAGAGCCCTAGAAAGCCACATCTAAAAACAGCGTTGGGGCGCCTGGGTGGCTCAGTCGGTTGGGCATCCGACTTCGGCTCAGGTCATGATCTCACGGTCCGTGAGTTTGAGCCCCGCGTCGGGCTCTGTGATTCTGTGTCTCCCTTGCTCTCTGCCCCTCCCCCACTCATGCTCTGTCTCTCTCTCTCTCTGTCTCAAGAAAATAAACGTTAAAAAAAATTAAAATAAAATAAAATAAAAATAGGGCTAAGCATTACTAGCGCCAGAATAAAATCTACTCTAAACCACCCTAACAAAGCGTAAAAACAAGTTTCCAAAGGATCAAATGATGCACAAGGACATTAACGGTCTACCACAAAAACAAAAACAAAAACAAAACTCAGTACTCTTTCGAGGAAGACAACAAAGCACAGATTCAAAGTGCTAAATAAACAAAAAAACCTGTCAACCTGGAACTTCCTTCCATGAAGAAAGCAAAATAAAGACATTTCAGACAAAGAAAAGCTAAGAGACTTTGTCACCAGCAGACCTCTACTACCAAAAAATGTTAAAGGAAGTTCCTCCAGCTCAGGGAAACGTAACAAAGGGATAACACATTTTCCCACCATCACCTGCCTGCTGCTCGCCACCCAGGGCGAGCCCCTCCTTCCTCCTCCGTAACTCCTCCTTCTGCCAGGCTGGGCTTTGGATCCCATCCCCTCACCTTCTCATTTCACACATCACCTTTTGATTCTTCACCTTGCCTTTTCCATTGGTTCTTGCTCCTTAGCATTTAAAAGGGCTCACACTGCATTTATCCTAAAACAATCCTCCCTCAACCTTAGGATCACCTCTACCACCACCGTCTCTGATCCTCTTTACAGACACAATCTTAAGCTGTCAGTACTCATCGTCTATTTTTATCCCTCATCTCACTGAAATCTGGCTTCCATCCCCGCCAGGCCAACGAAGCACCTCTCCTGTGGTTCATCAGGGACTCACCGGCCGCCAAACCCAGAGGGCACCTTGCGGTTTTCCCCGCGCACAGCCTTCTGTAGCCCTCGTCGTCGACCTCACCTCCTTTTTGACAACTCCCTCTTTCCTCTTCTTGTCCCGTGAGAATGACCGTGCCCACATCCCTGTCTCGTGGCCGCCCCCCACCATGGCACCAGGCCTGCCGGGATGCTCATCTGCCCGGGCTGATGGGCTGAGCCCCCGGAAGGCGGGCCGTGCAGCCCAGCCACCTGCTCTACTTACTCAGTGTGCCGCACAAATGCTGCCACTGAGGCCGGAAGGCGCTGCCCAGGGCATCCACCCCCAGCGCTCCCCCCGGACACCCTCGCATCACACATCTCTTTCAGCCCGCCTCTCCCTTTCAGGCAGATGAATCCACTATCTCCCCAGCCACGGTGTCCCTCCTCAACTACACGCCAGTAAGACCTAACGAACACCTCTTCCCGGATGGCACGTCAACCTCACCGTGTCCAAGACTGAACCCTTAATCCGGCTCCTTGGTGAATGCCATTACCAGGCCATACATCCGGAATTAATGCTTAATTCTTCTGTCTCCATTGCTGCTGCTAAGTAATCAATTATGAGGTCTGATCCCACTCCTCCGTCAAATCTCATCTTTGTGTTAACACTGACACTTAGTTCCTGTCTTTATCATTCTGACTGAACTCCTCTGAGACTTTTGCTAGTTTCCAAAACATAGAGTGCCTTCACCTCCCTGTGAAGACCTTTTGTGTAGACCACACATTATATACTCTTGCCCTATTAGATGTTAGGGGCCCAGGGCTTGCTTTGACTGGGGACACATGTATGGAAGTGGGATGTGTCATTTCTGAAAATCCTGAGCACCAAGGCACACATTTTTACATGTCCTTCCCCTCTGCCACTTAGCCAGGAACGCCCCGGGAAGGGGCTGCTTTCATCAGTGGGGCCTGGAGCAAAGCGGCATAGGAGTAGGGTCGCAGCTGATCCACGATGCCCACAGAGCACCGGTGAGGAACAGACCCAAATCGTCACCCAAACTGTCCATCCGTATTGCCCAGTCACGAAAACATAAAAAGGCTTTGTGTTCAGTTAATCAAACTTAGAAACATATTTGGCTACTGAGTATAATTAAGATTGCGATCCAAACCTTTTTGGCCACACCAAGCAAGCTAGAGGGAAACACTGGTATGTTTCTAGCCTCCCCTACATACAGGCCAAGCTTTTGCAGCCACACTAAGCGTCTAGTAAGACTGGAGGGCCATGGCTTAGGTGAGTCCCCAGGGGATGCAGGACTCACAGAGTGCCCGTATCCTTGTTGGCACACCTGGACAAACCTTTTGGTCAGCCACCCCTTTGATTCCTGAGAAATAACCGCTTTCCTGGTTTTTAATACAAAGAGGAAAAAGTACAAGAAATCAAGGCCACTTTCACTTATGCAAGTCAAAGCAATAACAATCAGCACCAAAACTACCTCTGAATAAAAGGAGAAAATACTTTTATGGACAGAAGGAACATTACTGAGAAAAGTCCTTGGTCCATTTCAATCTTAAAGCAGTGACAACGCCTTTTTACTTCCTGCATCAGCACCTTATCATCAGCACCTTAAAAAATGCAGACCCGATGGACAGTATTTTAAAACATTACAAAAATGAAGCCAGGAGAAAATATGAATGATTCACATTTAAAAAAAAATAATAAGACACTCATCTGTTAGCAAAGATATGTAAAAGTCTTTGAAACTTTACAAGCTTAAGTTTTACTTCTCAGGAATTATTTTAGAAATAGAACTGGTAGATTTGGATAGAAAACTAAGCCCATCGGGAGCACCTGGGTGGCTCAAGTCCATTAAGAATCCAAGTCTTGGTTTCAGTTCAGGTCATGATCTCATGGGGTTCATGGGTTCGAGCTCCACATTGACAGCACAGGGCCTGCTTGGGATTTTCCCTCTCCCTCTCTCTCCTGCCCCTCCCCTGCTCACACGCTCTCTCTAAATAAATAAGTAAAATAAACTTAAAAAAAAACTAAACCCATCAAAAATGCAAGATTTTTTTAAAAAGAGCTCCTAGTTATTTTTCTTGTACCAATAACATGCTTATGGTAAATTAGCATGTGCCACTGTTGATTGGTCTAGATGAGAAAACTAATGAGGTCAATTTCTTATAA